CAGTAGACTAGGCTAAATGAAGTACAGATAAATCTGGAAGGCGTGTCTGGGGCCTTGGATGGTGAGGAGGGAGGAAGTAAACAGGCAAGTGTTATACAGCATTGGCAGTTCCTACTATCTCCAAGGTGTTACACCTTCTGCAGTTGCATGGGAAGGTGCTGTCAGGGTGTGGGGAGTGAAGGAGGAGTGGACCATAGTGTCCTGGAGGGAATGGTCCCTGCAGAATGCTGACAAGGGAGGGGAGGGGAATATGTGCCTGGTTGTGGCATTCCATTGGAGATGACAGAAATGGCAGCTTAAGTGAGGACCAGAGGAACCCTATCATTGTTGCAGGAGGGAGGAGAAGGGATGAGGGCAGAGGTGCAGAGATGGGCTGGACACAGCTAAGGGCCCTATCACCATAGTAGCAAGCAATCCTGAGTGGAGGAAAATGGTGGATATTTCTGAGACTCCCCTGCGGAAGGTGGCATCATCGGAACCGATGCAATGAAGAAACCAGGAGAATGGGATGGAGTCCTTAGGGTGTGAGGACATATGACTATGCCAGCATAATAGAGACCACATGAGCATTGTCAACTGTCATAAAAACTCTCCTGTTTCCCTAATGTCCTTTAAGAAAGCGATTCCATACCCAACAATGCAGTTGACCCTTAACTGCACTCTGTATTCATAGAGTCATAGAGTCCTACAGCACGGAGACAGGCCCTTCAGCCCAAACTGGTCTCTGCCAACCAAAATGTCCATCCAAGCTAACCCCATTTCCCTGCACTTGACCCATATCCTTCAAAACTTTCCTATCCATGTATTTGTCTAAATGCCTTTCAAATGTTGTTAATGCACCCACCTCAACCACTTCCAATGACAGCTCATCCCATATGCGTACCACCCTCAGGTTCCTATGTATTCTTTCCTCTCTTACCTTAAACTGATGCCCTCTAGTCCTCGATTCCCCAACCCTGGGAAAAAGACTAATTACATTCACCTTATCCCTCTCATGATCTTATACACTTCTATAAGATCCCCCTCAGTCTCCTACACTATAAAGAAAAGGTCCTAGCTTGTCCAACCTCTCTCTATAACTCAGTCCCTTGAGTCCTGCCAACATCCTTATAAATTTCTTCTGCACTCTTTCCAGTTTAATAACGTCCTTCCTATAGCAAGGTGACCAAAACTGACCTCAATACTCCAAGCCCGGCCTCACCAGCATCCTGTATAACTGCAACATAACTTCCCAACTTCTATACTCAGTGCCCTGACTGATGAAGGCCAGTGTGCCAAAAGCCTTCTTCACTGCCCTGTTTATCTGTGACTCCACTCTCAGAGAAGCGTGCACCTGAACTCCAAGGTCCCTCTGTTCCACTACACTCCTTAAGGCCGTACCATTCACCATGTAACTCCTGCTTCGATTTGACTTTCCAAAATGCAACGCCTCGCACTTATCTCTATTACACTCCATTTGCCATTTCTTGGCCCACTTCCCCAACTGATCAAGATCCTGCTGCAATTTCTGATAACCTTCCTCACTGTCCACGATATTGCCTATTTTAGCATCATCCGCAAACTTACTAATCATGCCTTGTACATTCTCATCCAAATCATCGATATAGATAACAAACAGCAATGGGGCCAACACCGACCCCTGTATTGGCCCAAGCCACTCAGAACAAGGCCAAATATCACAGCTGGCCCAGCTGTGATACCCACAGCCCTTGAACAAATTAAAAAAGGACTCTTTTCTCGATGATACATGAAGGCTGTTGGAATTGTGACACCTTAAAGATACAATCTTATCAAACCATCTTATAAGCTGCCGTGTCAGGTCAACTGGGACAAGACGTAACGTGATAAGGAGAAATGCTAGGGCCAGTAGTGACAACTTTGGACCTGTTTCCTGTTAAATATATTGGTTACAGTTTTTTTTTATGGAACCAGTTTCTCCTTCATGAGTCCAACAGCTGCTCCCATGTCTATCCTCAACAATCCTGGAACCAAGATACTTCTTTAATCTGTCCTTTACGGAGCTTATGCATCCCAACGGATCAAAATTATCCAGCATACAGTGTGCCGCTGAATGAATTCAACGTAGCCTCACCATATAATATCACACTGTCCTTGAAATGGAAAATAATGCCATCAAGTCATAGAGTCATAGAGATGTGCATCACAGAACCAGACCCTTCATCCATATTGTCCATGCTGACCAGATATTCTAAATTAATCTAGTCCCATTTGCCAGTGTTTGGCCCATATCCCTCTAAACCCTTCCTATTAATGTCCCCATTCAGATGGCTTTTAAATGTTGTCATTGTACCAGCCTCTACCACTTCCCCTGGCACTTCATTCCACACATGCAACACTCTCTATTTGAAAAAGTTGCCCTTAGGTCCCTTTTAAATCTTTCGCCTCTCACCTCAAACCTATGCCCTCTAGTTTTGGACTTCCCTACCATGGGGAAAAGACCTGGCCTATCCATGCCTCTCATGATTTCATAAACCTCTATAAGGTCACCCCTGAGCCTCCAACGCTCCAGCAACAATAGCCCCAGACTATTCAGTGTCTCCCTATAGCTCAAACCGTCCAACTCTGGTAACATCCCTGTAAATCTTTTCTGAACACTGTCAAGTTTAACAACATCTTTCCAACAGCTGGGAGAACGCAGTGTTCCAAAAGTGGCCTAACCAATGTCCTGTACAGCTGCAATACGACCTCCCGATTCCTATACTCAATGTACTAACCATTAAAGGTAAGTGTACCAAACGCTTTCTTCACCATCCTGTCTAGTTGTGACTCCGCTTTCAAGGAACTATGAGCCTGCACCCCTAGGTCTCTTATTAAGTCACCATTGTCATATCAGACTACGCGGCTTCTCTCTCAAATGAGAGATCCGACTGGTGGTGAGTTAATCTGAGGGCCACCATACCTCAGGCAAGGGGAGGGTGAAATGAACATACGCTGTTGGTAACTCACTGTTTCATGAATCAAGCATCCAGCCAACTGAGCTAAACCAACCACCAAAATAATGCCATACAAAGGAGATGTTTATCGACAATATGGTAACCATTGACTTTGTGAAAGTGTAAAATGAATGATATGAAGTGAATTATTTTTAGTTTCATTCAGGTTGATGGGTAGGATGTAAAACATGCTGCTAATTCAATACATCTACGTCTGCAATCTCCTCAGGCTCTTCCTCCCCTCCTTTCTCCCTTTCACTGGAAATAGAGACTTTGGAATTTCTAGCCCTTCTTTTTTGGATCCAGAATCTCCTCTGCAACTCTACCTAGAGACCCTTCTCAAAACATGCCTTTTTGTCCAACTTTTGGCAGCTCAGAGAACATTCACTAGGCTGACTCCATGGATGAAGAGTTGCCTCAGGCAGAAAGTTTGAATTTTTGCTCATTGGAGTTTAGAAGAATGAGAGGTGACTTTATTGAAAGACATAAGATTTTGGGGTGGCGATCGTTGTGGTGGTGAGTGGGAGGCAGAGAGTTGACAGTGTAGGTACAGAGAGGATGGAAAAGCGCAGAAATGTTGGTTGGCAAGCTTAAAACAATGAATAAATTAGATACCAGGGCTCGAGTTTTGAGCCTTTCCAATAAGGTCCCTGGTTAAACCAAAACCTTGTGCAGCCATCAAATATAAAACTCTACGGACTGGAGGGCACACAACTTAAAGATAAGTGACAGATGACTGCCACGCTACAGTGCACAGAAAGGGCAAATCACAGAAACCTTGTACTAAATCCATAAACCAAATTATTTGCTTTTAATTAGAACATCTTGCAAAGAAATGCAACTCATTCATAAGATGGAGGAATTGGAAAGCCAAGACAATCATAGAATCCCTACAGCCTGGAAAGAGGCCATTCAGCCCATCAAGTCTACACTGACCCTCTAAAAAGCATCTTACCCGGACCTAGCCCTGCATTTCCCATGGTTAATACACCTAGACTGCACAGCCCAAGATACTGTGGGCAATTTAGTGTGGCCAGTCCATCTGGCCTGCGCATCTTTGGACTGTGGGAGGAAACCGGAGCGCCCGGTGGAAACCCACGCAGACACAGGAAGAATGTGCAAACTCCACACAGACAGTCGCCCGAGGTTGGGATCAATCTCAGGTCCCTGGTGCTGTGAAGCACCAGTGCTAACCACTGAGCCACCAGTAAAGCTAAATCATTTTAAAGTGGAATATCTATAATTATTGCAAAGGGTTGGGCATCTGAAAATGGATCATCCAATCGTTTTGCTACCTGATGCCAAACCAGTGTGATTGTTCACTGAAAGAAAAATCTCTCACACACTTTTGCAGAAAATGAAGCAAAAAAGTGTTGCAAAAAGAAATAATCACACACACACACACATACACACACACACACGCTCACACAGACACACACACACACGCAGATATACACACACACAGACACACGCACACACACTCATACACACTTGCACAGACACATACACATGCACATACACACGCACATTCATGCTCACACATACACGCACACATACAGACACACGCACACACACGCAGACATACACATACACATACAGACACACACTCACACACACACACACAGACACACACTCATACACACACGCCTAGACACACACATGCACAGACACAACACAGATACACACACAGACATGCACACAGATACACATACAGACACAGATATGCACACACACACACACACACACACACACACAATCACACACAGGCACACAATTACACATGTGGATGAAAGCCTGGCAAAACTAGGAAAAAGCATAATTTTCACAAAGCTAGATGCAAATAGCGATAATGACCTTTAGATGAGGAATCCAAGTTGCTTTTAACCTTGATCACACCATTTGGGAGAAGTTTTCTCAGCTGATGACATTCTAGCATAACATCTACACCTGAGATTTTATTTAGAAGACGGGCTCTGTGTGAACTTCTGATAAGAAGGAGGTTGCACGTGTGGACTCAGTTTTCTGTTCCTCTGCCAACACTTACAGCAGACTTTGGTAAAGAGTAAGGGAGAAGGAGGATGTGTACGATGAAAATCGAACAAGGAATTGTAATCAACGCCATCGAGTACACACCCCGATCAGAACTCCAGGCTGAATTTGCAACCAAAATCATCAAGGTCAAATTCTCAAAGTCATGGTTGCAGCATTTTCTCCTCTTGTGAGTACGGAGAGTGGAAAGGTGAGAAGAAATGAGAACTTTCAGGAAGGCTTTGGATAATTATTTGTATGGAGATAATATGCAAGGGTAGGGGGAGAAAGCAGATAACTGGCAATCGATGATGATGCTTATTTGAAGTACTGGTGCAGACACGATGGGCTGAATGGCCTTCTTCTGCACCATAACACTCCTGTGATGCTGCAATTATTCTACTTAAGTTTAGGAGATAATGTTTCCCAACAACTCAAAGAGCCCGCAGTCTCAATCAACTTTCATTCTGAATGTAACTAAGTGATAATTCATCTAATGGTTAGGATCTGGGGCTTTGGCTGCTGCAGCCTGGATTCCTGAACTGGGAATGCAACTTTCAGCTTTACGAAACCTTGGTTAGATCCCACTCGGATTATTGTGAACGGATCTGAGCATGTGCTCTTTACAAAGGATATACTGTCCTTGGATGGATGTATTGGCCTAATGGTATTATCGCTGGACTCTTAATCCAGAGACCCAGGTAATATCCTGGGGACCCAAGTTTGAATCCTGCCACGGTGGATGGTGGAATTTGAATTCAAAATAATCTGGAATTAAGAGCCTAATGGCAACCATGAAACTATTATCGATTGTGACGAAAAACCCATCTGGTTCGCTAACGTGCTTTAGGGAAGGAATCTGCCATCCTTACCCGGTCTGGCCTACATGTGACTCCACGCCCACAGCAATGTGGTTGACTTTTAACTCTGGGCAATAAATGCTGACCCAGCCAGTGACACCCTCATCCTGTGAATCAATAAAAATCATTTACAAAAATGATACCTAGACTTCAGTGGATAAGTTATGAGGAGACGTTATACAAACTGGGCCTAATTTCTCCAGCATTGAGAAAGTTAAGGGGTGACCTGATCAAGGTTTTCAAGATATTAATAGAAAAGGGACAGGGTAGCTAAATTATTTCCACTAGTTGAGGATTTTAGAACTAGGGGCATAGTCTGAGAACTCGGGCCAGACCATTTAGGAGAGATGTTAGAAAGAACTTCTACACATGAAGGGTGGAAGTAGTTTGGAACTCTCTTCCATGAACTGCAGTGGATACTAAATCAGTTGTTCATTTTAAATCTAAGACAGATAATTTTTTTAAATAAACGAAGTTATTAAGAGATAGGAGCCTAATACAAGTGTATGAAGTTGGGATACAAATCTGCCATGATTTCATTAAATGGTAGAACAGGTTTGTGGGGCTGAATGGCCTGTTCCTGCTCCTATGTTCCTAATTACAGATGGTGGTAACACAGCCAGGTCTTATTGAAAGAAGCAGAAGGATCAAGGGATCAAGTGACCTACTCTTTAATCCTTTTTCTTGTGAACTCCTGGGTGCCCAGCCTACTATCCTCAGAGCCTGGTGTCCTCTTTTGGTTTTTGTGACTGCTCACTGAATAATGTGGACTATATTTTCAAGCTGATGGGTACAGATTGACTGTGGGCATGTATATTGTCTCTCAGTTGGTAGCTCTCTTGCCTCTCACTCAGAAGATAAACAGCAGAGGTCTCTCTGAAGGCCTAGCCAAATTTTCCCACAGTCGACAATCAGGACAAATCAGATTGTCTGGTCACTATCATATTGCTACTTTTGGGGAGTTGGTTCTGGCACTAATGAACTGCTGTGTTACAACAGTGACCTCCCTTAGAAAAGAGCTTCACTGACTGTAAAGAGCTTTGGGTGGTGGTCCTGACAAATGAAAGTCGCTCAAATCTTTCATCAGTGAATTTTCCATTATAGCTATTGGCTTATTAAGCTACTCAGAGATGTAATGACACACCTCTAGGGCAGGTTGGGACTTGAACCCAGACACTCCTAACTCAGAGGTAGAGACACTAGCACTGCACCTCAAGAACTCTGATTTCCCTTATACAACACAAGATCAATTCACCAAGGATCAACTAGGAGTGATTCTGAAAACTAGTGTCAAGAATTTAAAGCAAAGCCAGGCCTTCACTCATGGCTGAAAAGTTTGCGAAGTGCCTACTTCTGTTTTGGCTGGGAAGCCCTTTAAAGAGTCGTAAAGCTGTACAGCATGGAAAACAGACCCTTCGGTCCAACTTATCCATGCCGACCAGATATCCTATATAAAACTAGTCCCATTTGCCAGCATTTGGCCCATACCCCTCTCAACCCTTCCCATTCATGTACCCATCCAGATGCCTTTTAAATATTGTAATTGTACCAGCCTCCACCACTTCCTCTGGCAGCTCATTCCATACATGCACCACTCTCTGCGTGAAAAAGTTGCCCCTTAGTTCCCTTTCAATTCTTTCCCCTTGAAGCTCTTGAGTGGCTCAGGTTATTCCTCTCACTCCCAAGTGGGATGATATTCCACCCCCAGGAGCTGTTGGTCAACCCAATGGGGCTTCAGTCCCAGCAGCACCCCCAGGTATGATGGCCACTCCAGAGAATGCAGGAGTCCACTAAACATAGCCCAGAATCCCAATTCACTGTTGAATCCCTGGCTTCCCTGATTAAGGGGGCAGGGCCAAAGCTACTTTTCCCCAAGATACTTTCCCTGTTGGTGTTCCTTTCTCAATTTCCAGGATCACTCTTGCGAGGAGAAAGTCTGTAAAGTCTTCACTGCACTGAGTCAGGACTCTGGTGAATTGATCGTGAGCTGTTTAGTCAGAAAGTAACACGCTCACGTGACAATTTAAGTTTGTTTCTCTTTTCTTTGCATGAATCGCATTGAAGTTTATCAGCACTCACAATCCGGCATCTCTCACAAGCAGGAAGTGACAGGGAATGTGTGACCGAGAACTATAAATAGAAGGACATCTCGCCACATGACAGTTTTTAATCCCTCAGGTGTTGGGATCAACACTTCCATTAGCCTCTCAAAAGTGAATATCACCAAGCCGTTTTCATATATATTGAAGAACAGATGTCTCAACGTTGAAGCAGCAAGAAAGGTAAAAGAAAAGATTTGAAATGAAGTCATACAGCCCTGGGTCGTAACCTGCACTCTATTAAAGATAAGAGTCTTTAAAACACCTTTAATAGAATCTATTTAACCAGACTTTAAAATATTAGAACATAGAGCATAGAACATAGAACATTACAGCGCAGTACAGGCCCTTCGGCCCTCGATGTGGCGCCGACCTGTGAAACCAATCTGAAGCCCATCTAACCTAAACTATTCCATTATCATCCATATGTTTATCCAATGACCATTTAAATGCCCTTAAAGTTGGCGAGTCTACTACTTTTGCGGGCAGGGCATTCCACGCCCTTTCTACTCTCTGAGTAAAGAACCTACCTCTGACATCTGTCCTATATCTATCACCCCTCAATTTAAAGCTATGTCCCTTCGTGCTAGCCACCACCATCCGAGGAAAAAGGCTCCCACTGTCCACCCTATCTAATAACTGTGCTTTGCGCTGCACAGATATTGCCAGTGCCAGACCTGCTGGGTTTCTCCAGTATTCTGTATTCTTCTTCCCTATAAAGGATAGCTGGTCTTCAACAGATAAGTCCCCTGGACTTGATACAGTAAAACATTTCAGCATATTTTGTAGACACCACATTGTCAGGTTTTTGCATAGTTTGGAGACTGAAAATTTCATGTCCTGACCTTTTTGGGGGTCCCGACACAATGGCTACATGGTAATCACTGGCAAAGTTGAAACTGCCAGTGGGCAACTATCCAGAACGTTCCGAAAAGGCACCAATGTGGAATTCGTGTCTGAGGCTTTGGACAGTTTTGAATGACTTACTTAAGCAGTCACCTGTGAAAAGCTAGAGGAATGAAAACTCAACCTTTCTCCCAGGAAACACTTAAATCAACGCTCCCACTCATCATCGAACCCCTACAATGCGGAAGAAAGCCAACTGAGTCCACACCAATCTGCAGTCGATCCACCCAGACCCTCCTAACACATGTAACCCTGTATTTCACTTGACTAGCACACCTAGCCTGGACACTATGGGCATTCTAGCATGGCCAATCCATTGTAACCTGCACATCTTTGGACTGTGGGAGGAAACTGGAGCACCTGGAACACACATCACACAGGGAGAATATGAAAACTCCACACAGACAGTCACCCAAGGGTGGAACTGAACCCTGGGTTCCCGGCACTGAGGCAGCAGTGCTAACCACTGAGCCACCATGCCAGCCCAGTCAATCACATTCCCCCTCCGCTGAACTCCTGATTTTTCCATGCCCATCCTCAGACATGGTGTACCCTCTCCAACTCCCTTCTGCAAACCTGGCCCCAGCCTCAGCTTCCCTGACACCATTCCACATCGACATCCCCTTGGACTCTGTTTCACCCTACACCAGCCCCCCCCCCCCCCCCCCCCACCTCCCCCCTTACCCCCCCCCCCCCATCTGCCCACTGTACACACATACCACCCTTGTAACCACACCCCCCTTGCACATTACAGTCATAGAGTCATACAGCACAGAAACAGACCCTTCAGTCCAACTCATCCATACTGACCAGCTTTCCCCAACTGAGATAGTAGGAACTGCAGATACTGGACAATCTGAGATAACAAAGTGTAGAGCTGGATGAACACAGCAGGCCAAGCAGCATCAGAGGAGCAGGAAGCTGACGTTTTGGGCCTAGACCCTTCTTCAGAAACTGAACTTGTCCCATTTGCCTATGTTCGGCCCATATCCCTCTAAACTTTTCCTATTTATGTGCCTGTCCAAATGTCTTTTAAATGTTGTAATCATACCTGCCTCTGCCACTTTCTTTGGCAGCTCATTCCATACATGCGGTGCCATGAATGTGAAAAAATTCCCCATAAGGTCCATTTTAATTGTTTCCCCTCTCACCCTCAGCCAGCCAGCATAAATGCAGTTTGCATGAAATACTGCAGGGCGTGGAGAACTGAGACACAGTGAGGGAGATACAAGTGGATTCAGATTAGCTACACTGTAAGAATTTTGGCTAGTTTTCCAGAGTACGTGAAATTTGAATCCATTGATGTCTTCACAGTGTCCATTCAGTAAAATATCCCTGCATCCTGCAATTATCACAGTGCTGTTGCAAAGCATGTGCTGCCTGTTTCACCTCTACTGAACAAATCTCAGTCTGTGTTATGAAGGACCCTGATGGGAATTATGTACAGGTCTCCTAGCAGTAGTTAGGAGTTGGGCAGAAAACAAATCAGGAGATGGAAAATGCATGTGAGAAAGGCACTATTAAAATAATCATGGGAGACTTTGATATGCAGGTGGGCTGGGGAAATCAGGTTGGTAGTGGATCTCAAGGAAAGGAATTTGTGGAAAGTCTATGAGATAGTCTTATGGTCGTATATATGTGCCGCTTCCTTCTAGCTCAAAGACATTTTGCATAGGTAGGGATTGCTAAATTTCTGGTCTAACGAGAACAGTCTTATTGAGGAAGCAATGTGAAGACAATTGCATTGTATTTCTGCAACTATTTGTATGTTTTATTTCCTTACATGGGTGTCATTGCCAATGCCAGCATTTATTGCCCATTCCCAACTGCCATTGAACATTGAGTCATTTTGAAGGACCTCATTACTTTGAATCTGGAGTTACATGAAGGCCTGACCAGATAAGAATGGCAGATTTTCTTCTCTAAAGGCCATTAATAAACCAGATGGACAATCACCAATGGCACCTTTAAACTAGCTTTCAATTCCAGATTTATTAACTGCCTTCAAATTCCAACATCTGACTTTGTGAGATTTGAGCCTGTGTCCCCAGATCATTAGCATCGGCCTTGGGATCATTCATTCATTATCACCACAAGGCCACTGATTCGCCAAGCAGATCTTATGTATATTACCAAGTTTCCAATAGAGACTGTCAGTTCCAAGCCTGTCTCCTCTGAGCTCCTTCTTTAATTTCACCAAGTTCCCATAACATCATCAGAGTGGGAGTTTCCAACTGCACTCTATCAAGTATGAAACCTTTCAGACTCTTATATAGCAGAGATATCTTTAGTAGAAGTGGAATAGGCAGCACATGCTTTGCAGCAGCACTGTAACAATTGTAGAAGACAGGGATATTTTGCTGAATGGACACTATAAGGAAATAAATGGATTCAAATTTCCTGTACTCTGGAAAACTAGCCAAAATTCTTACAGTGTATCTAATCTGAATCCATTTGTACCTCCCTCGTTGTGTCTCCACCCCCTATGGTTTTTCATGCAAGCTGCATTTATGTTGACTGTTTTATTGTGAAGAATTTTGCATCTGGATTGCTGCAGATCCCCCACTGATTCTGTTTTCCATATTATTGCCATCTAAAATCTTTCTAATTATCAGCCATTCAGTTTCCTTCTGTAAAATCAATAAACCCTTCAGTAAGTTTTTATGAGTTTCTAGTAACTTTGCCACGCATCGGAGAAGCAATAACCATTAAAGGGATACTGTATTAGTGGGTAATGAGTTGTCTTGGTATAGTACTTTGCAGACTGTGAAGTTTCTCCTTTTACCTTTGTTCTGGGGCATGGAAGAGAATAAGTTAGGAGGAGTCAGTTTGTGTAGTGTTCCAGAGGTCCAGGTTAGGGTGTGGAGAAGGTTTACCAGAGAAGGTTTGCCTAGTCTGGAGTGTTTTAGTTACTAGGAGACATTGGATAAATTCGAATCGTTTTCATTGAAAAGATGGAGGCTGAGGGGCAACCTAGTAGACGTCTACAAAATTTTGAGAGGCATGGATAGGATGGATAGTTAGAGGCTTTTTCCCAGGATAGAGAGGTCAACTTAAAGAGGGTGTAGGTTCAAGGTGAGAGGGGGAATGTTTAGGAGAGAAGTGCATGGAAACGTTTTCACACAGAGGGCAGTGGGTGCCTGGAATACACTGCCAGTGGAGGTGGTAGAAGCGGGCATGCTAGGAACATTCAAGATGTATCTTGATAGACACATGAAAGGGAAGCGATAGAAAACATGTATGGGCAATAAGTAGTATGTCTGAATAAGGATTATAATTGGTGCAGGCTTGGTGGGCCAAAAGGGTTGTTCCTATGCTGTATGGTTAATGCGCTGAGGGCACAGGTTCAAATCCCACCATGGCATCTGGTGGAACTTAAATTCAATTAATTGACTTTTAAAAAACAAAGATTTGAAAGTTCATTTCAGCAACAGTTATTTTGCATATACATTGATGTTAAGAGAGTTTGCCTTTAACTATAGCATGTGCTGTGTGTATGCATTGCTGTAGGTTGTTAAGCTGCTTTGAATTTGCAAGCTGCATGCCTAACGGAAATCTGTTGGTTTACTATCATGTCTGTTTCATAACTTATAATGTGTTTTACTGTTTTAAATAAACTAACCTGCTGAGTCAATCAATATTTGGAGAGTGATTGATTAGTAGTCTATTGTCTTTAACATCACAATGGTGACTGCAAAACTGTTACCAACCTATTTGTTTCACAAATGCTTTTCAGAGACAGAAATCTGTTGCGCTAACCCAGTTTAACCCACATTTGACTCCAGACCCAAAGCAATGCAGTTGACTCTTCTCAAGAACCATTTGGAATGAGCAATGAAGGTTGACTTTCTCAGCGATATCCATATCAAATGAACAAGTGAAATAAAGGAATTTGGCAATGCAGTGAGATCAGATTCAAACCATACCCTGTGTTCAACTGAGATGTTGCTGAGGGTGCTATGACCAGCAGAAGCCAAAGGGATGCAATAGTAGAGGGGCATCAATTCACATTGTTGAAGAGGTAATTGAAACTGAAAGATAAGTGTGTGGCTGATGAATTTTATCAAGCCCTAAAAGTAACTTTGACAGTCGCATGAGATTCTGACCTGGATAACCTGAGGAGACAACTTTAAAAGCAAATTTGCCCCTTTTGCAATTCTTAAGCAACATTGTAAACAGCCCCAGGCCCTATGTGCCACCCTTGTTCTGCAGGCAGTTCGCAGGGCTGGGGAGGAAATCACCCTGTTGCCCAGACCATATTTTGGGAGCAGCAGTAAAGTTGACAGGCAGACACACCGAGACTAGGAAGTGTAACGTTCAAGATATTTACTAACTAAAATGCTCAGACACATTATGACACACACCTGGAGCAAGTGGGGCTTGAACCTTCGTTCCCCCAGTTCAGAGATAGGGACATTATCACTGTGCCATGTGAGCCCGAAGTGAAGTGTTCAATTAGTCTTTGTTTGATTATGTTTGTCTGTAACTGATCTATGCTCGCTGTGTTTGTTTGGTTAAACCTGGATGTGGACTCTGAGTTGGAGAAGACAGGAAAGCCTTTGGAAGAAGGTGATCTGGGATAAACCTGAAAAAGGTAGAGATGTATTAAAATCACTGTCAGTAATATCTGTTGCAAACTTAGAAATGAGTGTCTTCTCTGCAATCCTCTGAAGGAAATCAAAGTTATATGTGATATGTTGAATAATGAAGCTCCTTCCCTCTGCTTTTGATGGCTTTTGGTAACATTGAATGAGATAGCACAATATGTCAGAGCATGGCTAGTTTGTTGGGTCAAAGAGCTTTCATATTGTCCTGGGTTTCTTTGTTGCCAAGTGTTAATGGATTCGAGCAATTCTTTCTCTTAATATTGTTGTCGTTGCTATTTGCAGGTAAACTGCATTGATTCTGAAGAAGGGTCTGGGCCTGAAACATCAGCCTTCCTGCTCCTCTGATGCTGCTTGGCCTGCTGTGTTCATCCAGCTCTACACCTTGTTATCTCAAACTGCATTGATTGTTGGAATGTAGAAACAGTGGGGAGCTGGTACAGTTGGGTCTCTGGAGTGTGGAGGTGGTTCTGACAGTGATCCTACTGTCAGATCTGGCCTGTGCAACTGGTACATGTCCTCTAGAGCAATATTACGTGTAAGGAAGTTTTTTAAATTCTTTTCTTTTTGTAGCGCCTGTATTGGAGCCAGAAGGTTATATTCCTCAGTAATGACAGTATATACCGTGGTAATTAAATACTGGTTTAATTTCTGAACTGTTGATGTATTATTATAGCACACTTCTCAGTAAAATTACAATCCTGTATCTTATTCCATTGTGTCATATCCACTTATATTTTGGAAGATACCAGTAATGTAGATAGAGCCCAGTAGTATAAGAAGACTCTTCAATAACATAGGAAGACTGCAGCAGTGTTAGAAGACTTATCAATAATGTTGGAAGACTCCAGTAGTGTCAGAAGATTCTGTATAAAGATTCTACTGGTGTAGGAACACTACGAACAGAAGGACCTACTCTGCTATTGAGTTAAAATGTAATCCTTTGAATCAGATCTGCACCTCAACTTGATCTTCCTGCCTTTTGCTTCATATCTCTTCACTAAACAGACGTTATTGTGCCCCGCCACCTCAGCAAGCTCACCCTATGGGTTGCAGACAAATCACCACAATGTGATGTGATAATCGTCAACAAAGCATCACATTCGTTAAAGCAAAAGGATGCCAAGACAAATTCTACATGGATGTCATTTGAATGATAATTCACACTGACTCTGTCTCATTGAATCCCCATTAAGTGCGATCCCATTCGATTAAGGAAATCAATAAAACCTCAAATGGTAACTTGTGTGCTCTTTTCAAAAAAAAAATTGGTTCAATCCAAAGCGAGTCCTATTTCAATTTAGATAATTATAGTCCAGCATGTAAAGAGCATCACAACAGATTGTAGGTAACTGAAAGGAAGATTGTTTTAATTAAAAATGATGAATGACCAAATCTATTTGCACTACAGTTGTACAAGTGATTTGTGTGTTTCCTGTTTTACATATATTCAAACAACATTTTCCTAATCAACCTGTTCAGAGATGTTATTACACACCTCTGGAGTAGGTGAGACTTGAACCTGGGCCTCCTGACAAAGGGCAGGAGTAGGAACACAAGCACCATGCCACAAGAGGGCCCCAGTCAATACAGTGTGGAGCTGGAGGAACACAGCAGGTCAGGCAATATCAGAGGAGCAGGAGAGTCGACATCTCTGGTCTGGACTCTTCATCAGAGCCCCACTCGCTTCTTTTTCTCCTGTGGGAAATGAAGAACAGACAGAGCTATAGATTAGCCTCTAACCGGACAATGCTTTATCTTGCTAGTTAGCAGAACATTCAATTGCCCTTTTTGGGATAACGGGGCAGGGGGAAATGTTTTAGGAAAAAGGCAAAAAAGGAGAGTAGGCCTCTGTTTTACAGATAGCAACATTGCATATAAAAAGAAGGACTCGTTATTAGTTCATGGGAAGTAAGCTTTGCTGGGAAAGTAAATATTTGATGTCCATGACTGTTTGCACTTTGGAAAGTAGTTGGGAGCCAACTTCTTAAACTGCTGCAGTCCATTTGCAAATCCTTTTGAATTTTTCAGCGCTGGCAAACCTGCACAAGACAATGGGTTATGCCACAATTCTGGGAAGACTGTGACAGAAAATTGAAGTGATTTCTGTCAGCCTATTAAGTTATCAGGCTCATTAACATCCAAAGTCTGCACTTGGTGTGCCACTGGCACACAGTTCAAACCTTGCACGCGCAGAGCACATTGGGCTGGGCCAAGGCATTGTCAACCTCTTTGTTCTCAGACTGCCGATTACAACCTGCCAAAGGTGATACTGACTTTGGCAATTCTAGCTGTCGTCTCATTATCAAGGTGGATAGCTCTGGGGTATGTGCTGTCGAGTGAACGTATCCAATGCTGACAGCTTCTGGTCATGGACAGAAACTGCAGGCTGGTGCAGGTTGTTATGTTCCTTCAGCTTCCTTTGTGCTGAGCCTGAGCCCAAAGTTGGCACGTGCATTAGAAAATAGGTCCGCTGTATATTGCAGCAGAACCAGTGCACACTCATTGGCAAGTAGGAAAGCACACAGTATGTGACTGGAGGCTTTACCTGACATTGTCTCAGATTGAGCAGAGTCTGATACATGTCATATCTGATTTCAATTCCAGGTTCACCATCACGGAGAGCAGCAGAGGAATACTTGCTGTGAGGGGTGTTGATGCAAACATGCAGCCCTGTTTAACTCCACTAGTGACTGGGAATGAGTCAGAGACTCTGTATTCTCCAGGACCCTCATGAGCATACCTTCATGGGACTGTCATGAATTCACGAAGGCAGGCGAATTTCTCCATTAACTTCCAAAGGTGCTCAGGGCTCTCTGTGTTAAAGGTCTCAATCAGTTCATCAGATATGGTGTAGAGGTCCACGTCCTGTTCTTGGCATATCTCCTCGAGTTATCTACCATGCCTCAACTGTTTGTTTTTCAAACTGGTCTGACTCTCTGGCAGCACGCCCCGGTTGAGATGTTGCGTGAAGCTGTTCAGAAGGTTTCGAGCGAAGATTTTGAGGATGAAAGAGAGGAGTAAGAACCCTTTATGATCATCACCAGATTGGCGACTTCATTTCAGCTTGTTGGAGAACGGAGATGCCTTTGTATTCCACGAACTGGAGCCGTTAAGTGAGCTTCGTGAGCAGCACCGACCTCAGCTGGGATTCCAGCTCCTGGAGCTTTGCCTCTAAACAGGAGTTGATTGCATCTGTCATTTCCAACTCGTTTGTCACCTGCCCTGGTCCACAGCGTAGACAGCTGGAGATATATGTGACTGCAGGCAGTGACCAGGATCCCTTCTGTGTTTTGCTGGGCTGACTTGCCTTCAAGACCACTGGACTTTGGTAGGCCCAGTCCACTAGAATCACGCTCAGGTAGGTAAGCCCCTGAGTCAGTGAGGCTAGGAGACCCTCAACTGGTTTTCCCTCTCTGTAGAAGCGCTTCATTGCAGTATGGCTGCTATCAATTCCTTGCTGGGGATTGTGACTATGTTGTCACTTTAAAATGTTATTTTGTCCTGGTTTTATTTGAAGAGAGGGTGTAAGGTAGAGGTTCCAAACTGCCTGCTTGAAAATGACCCAAGTAAACAACTTATGGGGCCTTTAGGTTTTTTTTTAACAGTCACAACAATGGAAGCAGATAACAAGGTGTGGAGCTGGAGGAACACAGCACGCCAGGCAGCATCAGAGGAGCAGGAAAGCTGATGTTTCGGAGAAATTTCTGAAGAAGGGTCCAGACCCGAAACGTCAGCTTTCCTGCTCCTCTGATGCTGCCTGGCCTGCTGTGTTCATCGAGCTCTACACCTTTTTATCTCAGACTCCAGCATCGGCAGTTCCTACTATCTCTGAACAATGGAAGCAGCCTGAATAGGTGTGGCCAGCTCTCACAGATCCAGATTTCTGGGCTTTGTTTTTTTTTCAGTAACATCAGGAGCTTTTGGGGGTTGAAAAGAGTTGGAGGGTTCAATGGATTTCCCCTAGCTGCTACACTCTCTGAATTTTCTCTTGACGTTTCATCCTCCTGGATTAGAAACCTGCACTTGAGACTCTGTGTCTGAATTTGTCTTTTTGCCAAGTGGTGTCTTGATGGCATCTTACTATATCGGAACAGTTAATTAGTATAGGTACTGTATCCATTATTTGGTTAACTTTTCCAACAGTTAAGTTATTCTAAATTCCTCTTTCCTTTGTTTGTATTTTAACTATAGTATTTAAATCAATTGTGTTTTGCTTAACGTTGACTAGTTTCACCAGTTGCATCACATCTGGAACATGGCACTTCACATCTACCTTTAAAATAAAACAATGTTGGGGCCCAAGCTACCTTCTTAAAATATTTTGAGCAGATCTGGTCTTGTTCATACCAGGGTGTAGGGTGAAGGCCTGGACTGCGACTGGGAGGAACCCCACCATAGAGCATGGTGAGCATGCCTGGGAGAGGTGCTACCGCTTCCTTACACCCTCATAGACCAATACAACAGAGACTAAAGCATTTTAGTCAATCATGCCCATTCTAGCTCTCTGAAAGAGTCACATTACATCATCCGTCACCACCTGGATCTACCCTTATTGCGATTCAACTCTCCTCCCTTCAAATATTTATCCAGTTCAGTGTTGAGCTTCCATTTGATTGTCCATGTGGACACTGTTCGCATCTCATCTGAGAGGCTTCAGTGCAGTGCCTCGCTCCAATAGCTTCAGTGAATGTGTGGATAAGAGGATTGGAAGAAAGAAAGCCCACATGCTCCGCAGAGCCTGTACAACTTCCTCTGACATGCTCTGCACCCCACATGAGTCATATATTTGGGCCCAGTTTGATTCGCATAGCCACTGGAAGACAGCTCTCAACTATCCAACCATATCGTTATCTCAGCTGCCTGCATAGCACGTAAAACAATGTTTTTTACTGTCTCTCAGTGCATGTGACAATTCTAATCAATCTCACCTTGAATCTAAGATATGCCCAGCACTGAGCATGTGCCTTCCACACAAAAAAAACAGCAGGGCATTGTGGAAAGTATCATTTCAACCTGTGCTCATCCCTATCCCTAACTCCTCAACGCTTCACTCAACGTTGCCTGAGATCCTGGTGCTTCGAGACAATCTTCAACTAAGCTTCTAAGAAAGCTGGCTCCAGCCTTATCTTTACCTGCTCTCTCTCTCTCTTAGATAACAAGGTGTAGAGCTGGATGAACACAGCAGGCCAAGCAGCATCAGAGGAGCAGTAAGGCTGACGTTCGGGCCTAGACCCTTCTTCAGAAATGGGGGAGGGG